AAAAGGCATGTCATAACAAGCCTCGTGAGTTGTCGGCAGAATACAGGGCATGACATGTCTTGACAAGCCATGACTTGTCCTGACATGCTAACCCTCCTATCGTGGCACGCCATAACAAGTGTCGCAAATTGTTGCCAGAATGCATGGTGTGGCATGACATGCATTCTATCGACAATTCGCGACGCTTGTCATGTCAAGGTCAACAACAATGTTTTGGCATGCCACGATGCGAGGGTTAGCGTGTCATGCAATGCATTTTTCAAACATTTTGACACGTTAACCCTCGCATCGTGGCACGGTATGCAATAACATGTTACATGTCGTGACAAGTCATGACTTGTCTTGACATGCTAACCATAGCTTACAGTGAGAATTCGGATAATGGCACTCAAGAATGAACTCGTAATGTGTAAATATGTTGAGTTATTTGATCTGATGACATACAGGCTCAGTACTCAGGTACATTTTTTTTCACGGCTAATAATTTACTTATTTCCGCCATGTTTATAAAGCCTTGTTAACTTTTTGGTAACTAAAGGGAGCGTAAATTAATCAATTGGCGGAGCTCCAACCCCTATTTAATATGTACGTTTACATTTGCTCAAAATATAAAGCGGAAAAAAACCACTTGTCCTTCAATGATCTCAGGTGAAGCCTCTTATCTGGGTGGAAGCACAAGTTGAAAATCATTCTAGAAGTCGTATTGAATTCACGGTAAAAGCAAGGAGCCAGTATAAGGAGCGCAGGTAAAAGAATCGCTGCTCTTAACATTTACTTATTTATGTTGAATCCCTTAGATAGAATACTAAGGCTCCGAGTCCCATTGTGGCACGCCAGAACAAGCATCACAATTTGTTGACAAAATACAACGAATGTGGGGATAAATTGACACTTTTGGTTTGACTAATTGGCGGCTTCTTTGAATTTTGGCAATTTTGGTCAATTGGTCTGAGCTACTCAACAACGACGTATCTAAAGGTTGAATTGACTTATAGTTGCCTATTTTTACTTCCAAAATGACTACTGATGATATTCAAAACTTGTCAGCTGCCAAAGATATTATGGAACTTTGACAACTGTTCAAGCAAGAATCTGCACCATTATCGCTCTTCGAATTCAGTTATTGTCAAGTCGTTACTAGAATCAGACTTGAACGAGTCACATGAATTCACTGGACTGATACAACTCCAGAGACGGATCCATGATTCTAAGGCTCTGTCTTCTCTCCACGGCTGCCAAACCAGCAGTTGAAAGTACATTTATAAAAAGGGATAAACGTAAGTAGCAAGTAGCAAAGGTATATTGTTCGCAAAGTTTGTATAAATTTCATGTGTTATCAAGTTCATGGAATGGCCCTCCTGATAAAAGCCATCATGTTTCTTGCCACTCACAATCTCCAACAACATGATCCCCCCTAACTAAAGACATCCGATGCCGTTGAACGGCCTCCTAAACACTGCATAATTTGGTGACATGTATCCATTGCATATGAACAAAATAGAACCAAATTACTGGCTAAAGAATAGTAAAAAGAATGCGAAAGGTGACGATATGGTGATTTATTCATGAATGTGTGAATCCAAGTATGATTCTGTTTTTTGGAGAAGAAAAGGTCAACAATCAACATAATTCAGATGTTGAGGGTGTCCCTGGATGTGCAAAATAGGAAGAGGAAAACCACAAGCCACACTTTCATAAAGATTTTCGGGGCATCTCAGTGTCTGAAATGGATTTTAATTATTTTCCATGCGACTTTGGCACCTATAAATTGATATTGTTGGTATTGTTGACAATTACCTAAATCGTAACATGCCAAGAGTATAACAACAGACTCAATTATAAGGGAAATAAAAGAATAGGACTTTGATAACTATACAAGAAAAATAGTTTGGCTCAATAGACAGTGGTACTAAGGCCTCGTTTGCACCGGATAGGATTAATAATATGGTAGCAGTTGGTTGGTGCACTATCGTACTAAATGCCTGCTTAATTATACAATCCATCAAATTCAATACGGTTGACACCGGATATTAATACAACCCAAATGCTCGGTATTATTAGTCGGGGGTGCTAACAAAAAACACGGTCACTTCTACTCTTCGGTTTCATGCATCTGCTCCCTGGCGAATCCTCTCCATCTTCAAGAGTTCTCAACCCCCACCCCCACTCCTCTGCAATCGGTCGCCAAGCAATTTCCCCACTCCTCGACTACCAAAATGGGCTAATCTCTAGTTAATCCCCGTTCGATCAATTTTAGGTATTTGAGATTAATAAACCTTGAATATTAGGTGATAAGTGTTAGGCTACAAGACTTGTAATTCAAATGGTTAAGAGTATTTATTTATACAAGAATTTTTGTTTCATTACCTTTCATTCTGCACATCCCTACTTAAAACTTTTCGTAAACTATCTTTTGCTATATTCAATTCAAACACCAAAATAAAATGAACGTGGTTCATCAAAAAAATATAAAATACAAAAGAAATATGGTTGCCATTGAAATACAAAAATACAAAATACATAGAATTAAATAGTAAAATACGAAGATGTGATTTCACACCAGGCTTGAAATCTCGTTGTCAGTGAGACAACCTAGAAAGACCAAATTGAAGTGTACAGGTTCCACCACCCCACTCTTCTCATATCTTTTTCGGTGGAAAAGTGAAGATCAAAATGTATTCCCTACTTGGAGGTACCAATTTCCAATAATTGTGAAGCTTCCATAAAGATGCCAAAGCACTCTTGAGAAACTCAATCTTCATCGGCATCATTCCCTTTTTTAACAAAAGTCTACCCATGAGGTTCGTTCGGCATGAGCGTAATGAGTCTTGATTAAGGTCCTTACTAATCTTGGCATAAGTCACATCTTCCTGAATAGTAGGAGTAGGAAGTTGGCTTATATAAATTGAACTTTCTGCACCCTTTGTGACAATGGAAGCAAAGATCCGTGCTTTTGGAGATTGTTGACCAGTGACAATATTCAATTTGAACGTAGTAACAGAGAAGTCAAGGAAGCCCCATAGGCATAGGGCAATGGGTGACTAGTCCAATAAAGCCAAAATCAATCAACCTAAAACAAAACTCATTCCAAAATTATACATAAAAAATTAAGTAATTTAAAATTGAAATTTAACTTGTTCAAAGGAAATGGATCCTTTTCGGATCCCTTCCTCCTAATCCATCAAATCAGGGTATCTGTGCCGTTGAAATTTGATCCAACGGCTACAAACAAGGGTCAACTTTAAAAGTTATAATAACTTCAGCCGTTGGATCAATTTTCAATGGCACGGATTCCCTGATTTGTTGGATTAAGAGGAAAGGATCTAGAGATGATCCCTTTCCCTGTTGAAAGTGTGTGGGACCTGTAGGTGCAGAAATTTGAAAGTCCTCTCCAAGCCAAAAGTGGTTGGTACAGTGTAGGCGTAGCAAATCTGTAGGTGCAGACTTATCATAGTTGCAGACACTGACATTGTTCTAAAAATCTCCGCTTAGCGTTGCCTAGGCGCTAGGCGGTTGGCCATTATCTCAATTAATGCCTAGATGTTTAAAAATTTAGAACGGGCATTTAGACCTGCTAAGGCATCTGCCTGGACCGCCTAACCAGCCCAGATATCCTTAGACACCCATCTAAGTTGCGACTCACTTAGACAAAAAATAGATAACTTTTATTTTGTATTATTTTTTAAAATAAATTATAAGAAACTTGTTGAATACTAAAATGAACACAAATTATATACTTGTTCCCCATGTTTTCATTATGTTTCAGTACTTCATAATTTTTATGTCATTCTATTTTGTAATTTATAATATAATTATATATATTTAAGTATAAACATACACTTGTTTATATGAAATATAACAGATTTATTTAAATCCGCCTAGTCCGCCTAGGCCCCATCTAGCCGCTAGGCCCCAACCCATCGCCTGACTAGCGCCTAATGTCTTTTAGAACCTTGGTTGCAAAACCTAAAAAAGCACCGTTCCAAGTTGCCTTGTTGCAGCTGAGCAACCAAAAATTGTTGCAGACCTATTGCGCTAAAATTCCAAAATCACGAGCCATCACAAGTCGCAAACTGGAGCCAACCAAGACCAAAAGACAACTAAGTGTGCGTATTATGGCATTCAACCCACTATCTATTGATGAAAATGAACTTACATCACTAATGAAACCGTTAATTCTAAAACAAAACCAGATACGTTTAAATGAACCATAACTAATTATGTTAGGCCTAATACGAGCATAAATGAGCAAAGAAATCAATCTAGCCAAATAACACTGCAAGGTCAAACTCACAAATTCCCACCACAACTCATGTAAGGCCCAAATCCATAAACCCACACAATAGCCCATATTTACATTAAAAAAATTAAAAATGTCTATTTCGTAATTAAAACTAAATTCCCCCTCAATTGCACTATAACCAAAGCTACAGCGCCAACTCTTCCCGAGTTTAGAATACAGTAAGGGTGCGTTTGTTGCACCGGACTGTCTTAGGCTGGACTAGCTTCAGGGACTAAGCTGGATTGGCTTGGCCTGGATTAAGCAGTACTAGAATTGTGAAGTGTTTGGTGCAGTGCCGGACTAGCTAGGACTAAATTTTTATTTTTTATTTTTTTATATTTAATTATGAAAACTTCCACTTTCTTGTCTAATTTTTTTTTTAAGATATAAAAGATGCTTTATTGAAAGTATTATTCATCTCATAAACAAAATGGGGAAAGGATTTTGCTTTACATGAAAGTCTACAAATATTTTTCACCATCAGCTATCAATACATTTACAAGTTGCGACTACTTGTGCTTAAACTTGAGTTCCTTCACATATTCTTCAATGCCCTTCAACTACGTACATCTAACTACATCATTGGAATTTAAATCAATTCTAAGAAATCATACACGAGCAATTGTACCTCTCATAGAGCTATAGAACAATGTCCCTGCAAAATTCAGTGATTCATGAGATGCAAGTGATACTAAATGCAATCAAATACATGCAAGACTGACAAGTTCAACCAATTTGCTTAATCCAAAATCTCTAAACACAAAATACCCAATCGATTGAGCAAACACCATGAATAACAACAAAAAACACAGGGATAATAATTTCCACTGAAAGATTCTTGCACCATCTCAAAAACCTAGAAATCAAAAGCTTCAGATAATAAAAATTTACATTCACTTCCTCATGCTTTGAATTGACGAAAACATGGAAACCCACCAAGAATCCCTTCAGACTTCCAATGCCAAAACCAATGATTCCAAAACAATTGAAACTCCCATTTTTTTCTCTGCTGCTTCAAGAATCTGCAGACAAAAAAAAAGAACAATAATTGAATTTAATATCCAATAAGATTTATCCAAACTAACATAAATTTATCAAACCCATTAACGAGATTTATCCAAATTAACAAAATTTAACCCAAATTAACATAAATTCATCAAACCCCATTAACACAAACCTAATTAATAGGCTGTTGGGGTTGGAGAATCGGTCGGTGCGGGGGGCCTTTGGATGCGAACGCAGTGCTTATCCACCCACTTGAGGAGGCCTTTGGTGGCGAACGCAGAGTACGCGGTTGGAAACTGACAAAGGAGCAGAAGAAGAGAGGGCGATGGTGCGACGAGGAAGAAGATGAAAGGGCGATGGTGCGACGAGGAAGAAGATGAAAGGGTGAAAGGGCGAAAGGTGCGAAGGAGAAGGGAGAGGGCGGGACTAGCAGTCCGCTCGTTCTGGGGGTTCTTTGCCAAGACCTTCTAGCGAAGGTTTTAGTCGACGCGAGTCCCGGTTAATTCCATTAAACGTAGTCCTGGTTGCTATCAAACACGAGATTGGACTAACTGTTAGTCTAGTCCAGTCCAGTGAGGGCTAGTGAAGGGAAACAAACACACCCTAAGTGTCCTACATGAAATATTTTATAAGATCCACGCCGACCACCAGCCACTAGCAATAAAATGTATATTTTTTTAATTAAGTATTTTAGCTTATTGAGTGACAACATGCATTTAGCAATTGTCTAATTAGTAATTAGTGCGAGAGTGGTTGGAACATTTTAAATTTCTTTTGGGAAAGTTCCAAAGTGGATTTTTGTGGCTGTGACCTAGTGAGTGATGGGGCCATGGTATCAATTTCTTCAAAAATTTTGTCTTGAACTTTATGAAATGGTCAATACTCATGCCCTTCTCATTGTCCAACATTTCTAGAAACGCAGTCATTTTTCTTTCCTGAAAGTGACATTTTGTCTCTTCAACAGAAAATTCGTACCAAATGGTAGTAATTAAAACCGAAATTTTATCCAACACAAAATTTTATGGCTTCTAGAAAATAATCTATTTCAGATTCATCTGATAATTATTTTGTTTTTTTATGTGTGAGATTGAAAATTTTATGACAATTAGAAAATAATCTAATTAGGATTTGTCATGATAACTACTTCATTTCTTTTTTTTGTTTTTTTTTTGTGTGAGATAGAAAAAAATAAAAATAAAAATAAAAATAAAAATATATATATATATATATAAGAGAGAAAGAGAGGTGGTAGGAAGGAAGAGGAATGAATAAAAGAGATTACATGAAAATAAAAACTTGAATGTGAGAAAAAAATTGCTCTTCATTTTTTGTTTTAATTTTATTTAGTTAATCATTCACTATCCTCCCCTTCACTCTTCATTTCTCATTTCTTTCACATACATTTCTTTTTTATTTATAATAAATATAAAAAAATAAGACTTGTAAACGAAAGGTGAAGGGAGGATGGTGAATGATAAGAGTTAAACAAACTTTTTTTTCACCATCCTCCCTTCACCCTTCAAATCCCACCAAGTTGTTCAAAGTCCAAAAGGTGTTGCAATCCATGTAGAGTCCGTCTGTATCAAAAATTTCTTCCATGAGTACGTTTCGTGGTGGGGCAAAAAATTATTCTTTACATAAATTTGTGGATAAAACAAAATATTAATAATAATTCAAAGACTACTTGAGCAAGCATTCAGTCGTGCTTTTGGCAAACCTTTGTTCTGCAATAATGCAGTTGGTGAAACGTCTGCTAAATGTTTTAGTTCTTCATCTCCTCCTTGTCCGGCTCTGCTCTTCCTTGGACACCATAAAATTTGATCAACCTGTTGGAGACGGTGATTTCTTGGTGTCCAAGAATGAGACCTTTGTCTTGGGGTTCTTTAGTCCCGGGACATCTACCAACCGCTATGTTGGAATTTGGTACAAGTTTTCAGAAGACAGGGTTGTGTGGGTGGCCAACAGAGATAATCCCATCAATGGCAGCTCAGGAGTTCTCTCAATGGGTTCTGATGGAAACCTAGTGCTGCTAGCCAATACTAGCCAAGGCCTTGTTCGTCTGTGGTCAACGAATGTTTTGATATCATCAGCACGCAACGATAATATTTTTGCCCAAATCCTTGATTCGGGAAGCCTTGTTTTGGCTCAACAAGGCAGCCAGGATGTTTTTTGGCAGAGCACTGATCACCCTACACATATTCTTCTTTCAAATATGAAAATCGGGTTGGACAGGAGAAGTGGCATCAACCGGTTCCTCATGTGTTGGAAATCGGACAATGATCCAGGGACAGGGAATGTTTCGTTGAGAATGGACCTGAATGGATCGCCTCAGTTGATCTTGTACAAGAATGAGGCTAAGTGGTGGAGGTCAGGACATTGGAACGGGATTCAATGGGGCGGCATACCTGCCGTGCAGCGGAACGTTGTGTTTAAGATCAATTTTGTGAACAACAAAGATGAAATTGCTGTGCAGTGGACTGTTCTCGACCCTTCAATTTACTCGGTGATCACAATAGATGGGATGGGAACACTCAACCAGCTAGCATGGCAGGGGCAACAGCACCAGTGGGTTTCGCTTTGGTCAGCGCCATTGGATGCCTGTGACAGCTATGGCAAGTGTGGTCAGTTTGGCAATTGCAATCCCTACACTAACAGTGGGTTCAACTGCACATGCTACCCCGGGTATGAACCAACCTCACCGCAGGATTGGGATTTGAGAGACGGAACAGGTGGGTGCAAGAGGCAGAAGGGGTCGCCGTCCATGTGCAGGAACGGCGAGGGATTTGTGAAGATGAAAAATGTAAAGGTTCCAGACACGTCCTCCATAAAATTGGAGACGAATTTGAGCTTGGAAGCGTGCGAGGTGGAGTGCTTGAGGAACTGCTCGTGCTTAGCGTATGCGAGTGCAGATGTGAGGAATGGAGGTACTGGATGCATGACATGGTATAAAGATTTGATGGATACTAAGCAGTTCACAGAAGGCGGGCAAGATTTGTACATTCGCGCAGATGCAGTAGTTTTTGGTACCTTATCTTTCAAGAAATTGCGTCAGCTACATGTCTCAACTTCATACCATTGATGGCACTAGTGAATATATTTTTTCTTCTTTTTTCCAGCTCAGTATAAAAAGAAGTCAGGAGCAGGGTTTTCTTCCGGAAAAAGGCGACTGGCTATTATATTAGGAGCGTCAATTTCTGTCGCCTCATTGCTCATCCTCGCAGTTTTATGTTGGTTCAGGAAAAGAAGCAGGAAAGGTATGCGAAAAATTTCCCCTTCTTTCGTTTCGTAATTTTGTTTTACAGCTTTATTTCAGCTTAAGTTTCATTTTGTTCGTCTTGAAATTTTTATAACCTGAAATTTCAATGGAATGGAAACAGAAAGAGGAGGACAACCTGAACTGCTGAATGATCCCGCTGCTTTTGGTTCACGAAGCTATGAAGATTTGCCAATAAGAAAAGAGGTTGATGAACACAGAGGAAAAACAGATTTACCTTTTTTCGATTTAACCACCGTGGTTGCAGCCACAGAAAATTTCTCTTTTGCTAATATGCTTGGACATGGTGGCTTCGGCATGGTATATAAGGTACTTTCCCAGAACCATTCTGTGTAACTCAGCATTGTGTGACTTAAAAATAAAATGTGAAGTACGCATCTTGTACTTTGTTTACGAACATACCAATACATAAGCTCTGTGACGTTGAGGCGGATAAGATAGAATTGTATGTAAACTTTATATTGATCTGAAGTTTGTCGTTAAGATTTTTGAGTCTGCATCACCATTTCAGGGAAATCTAGCTGATGGACAGGAAATAGCTGTCAAAAGATTATCGAGAAATTCAGGACAAGGTGTAGACGAATTCAAGAATGAAGTCATGCTTATAGCAAAACTCCAGCATAGAAACCTTGTGAGGCTTTTGGGTTGCTGCATAGATAAAGAAGAGAGGATGTTAATCTACGAATACATGCCGAATCGCAGCTTGGACTTATTCATTTTTGGTATGCGATCTCTACATACGCTAATAAATACTTTCGTCACTTAACTTGTATCTAACTAATAGGCGCTTTTATGTGTTGTGTTCAGATAAAAACAGAAAGTCGTCGTTAGACTGGAGAAAGCGATTTCAAATTATCATTGGGATTGCTCGAGGCGTCCTATATCTTCATCAAGATTCGAGACTAAAAATAATTCACAGGGATTTGAAAGCAAGCAATGTTTTACTGGATGGTTCAATGAACCCAAAAATATCAGATTTTGGCATGGCAAGAATGTTCGGGGATGACCAGATTGAAGCCAACACGAATAGAGTTGTTGGCACCTAGTAATTCTCTTCTCTCCCTTGAAATAAAACTCAAGTAGAGCCGATATTTTTTTTGTACTCATATTGTGTCATTGCAGTGGTTACATGTCACCGGAGTATGCTATGGATGGGCTATATTCCACAAAATCTGATGTGTTTAGCTTCGGAGTCTTGGCACTAGAGATCATTAGCGGCAGGAAGAACAATTTCCAATTTGAAAACCCCTCTCTGAATTTGGTTGGACAAGTAAGTAAATAGATAATATCTTGGATGATGAATTTAACTTTTCAATAGTCCATCCATCTAAACATTAAGCCCAAATGGTTTCAGATATGGGACTTGTGGACAGAAGGAAAAGTCTTGGACATAGTTGATTTATCACTGAACGAGTCATATTCGACTCATGAAGTTATGAGATGCATTCAGATTGGGCTCTTGTGCGTGCAAGAATACGCAACAGACCGACCGACCATGTTAGATGTTGTGTTCATGCTAGGGAACGAAACGACTCTTCCACATCCCAAAAAGGCAGCGTTTAGCTTCAAAAACAGCTGTCCGGATTGTTCAACTTCTAGGGGAGCTTCTTCTGTAAATGATGTAACAGTCACAGTTATTGAAGCTCGTTGAGTTTGCATTTTTCAGGTCCTTGTAGAGATTTTGCATTACGTTCTTAAGTCTTTCTACTCAAATCGAGATTTCTTTGTACATGAAGATTCAAATTCAAATCCTAGAATCTAAACGGGCCTAAATGTTTAAATTTTAGATCAACCATGAAGACGTGGTAAGCAAAGTAACAAATTGAAATTCTCAGTTTTTTTTTAATTAAAACAATAATGTCATATCCTCCAACATTGCATGGAAAAAGACATTATTGTGAATATATATTGAAGAACAAAAGTAAAGATATAAAAATATAGAGGGACATAAAGCCAAACCCTAACAAGAAGTAGAAAATTATTAGAAACAAAAAATCAATTAAAAGAACTTGTAATAGAAACGAAAAATTAGAAGCTCCGAAGGATTATGAACAAAAGCCGCAACTGCACACAGCGGACAAGAATCCCACAAATGAACCCCGGCATGATCAACATCATAGTTTGCCAAACAATCTGCCCCTTATTTCCTTCGCGATAAATGTAAGAAAACCGAATATGCATGGAAGATAGGATGGTACA